GGCAGGCCTCCGGGTCTGAGGAGCAGCCCTCAGAGTCACTGCCCGAGGAGGGTCCTGGTGGGGTGTGTGTGTTCGAGTGCGTGTGCGTATGATCCAGGCTTAGCACCCATCCCAGTTTGGAGTGAAGAAGGTGTCTGAGGCCGGGCGGCAGGGGCAGGACTCGGAGGGCATCGACTCCAGACGGGAGCAGCTTGCGGAGTCGTGAGCAACACAGGTACTGTAGAGAGGTGGGAGCAGAGACCGAGCGAATCACCTTCATGCTGCTTTTGGCTGCGGTGGAACACGCCATTGGAAAAACATGCTTATTCTTCATCTCTGTAGCTGCTACACCTGCCATGCACACAACATATGGGTTAAATGTTATCAAATGAGTGTTTTAAACTGCTTCAAAGACAGCTCTGTGATTATTTAAGACTAGTTGGTGGGTCGTTTGAACTAGTTATAGCCTTGTATAACCATGTTCACCAGACACGGACAGCACATTTTTCTTATGGATATATGAACGCAAACCACAACCCCTGAACAAGGTATCTGACAAATATTCTAATAAAAACAGTAGGTGAAGTAACTATAAACTTATTACATGCATTTATGAAGACATTGCTTACAGACATTACCAAGACATTGGTTTTGTTCTCTAAGGATAACTGGAAATTTATTGAATATTTTTTTTTTTACAAAAATGGAAATTTGTTGATGTAAAAAGTGAAAAGTGTTACTGTAGCAGAGTTGTTTTAAAGGCAGTGAATTTAAAGGTAGAGTAGGCGAAAGGCTAGCAGCTAGCAATAGCAAGCTAGCTTTGAAAGCAAGATCCCACCTTCCCTGCATAATCACTCTGCAAAGCCACGCCTCCTACAAAACACATGAATGCGCACAGACAGACAAGAGGCTAACCAGCGACACGATGAGAGACAGCGTTGGTGGAGTGTTGAATACAAAGCTGTCAGATTACCGGTGAGAAAACATTACAGTAAAAAACGCATAATATTACAATAATCTGCAATAGAGTAATGAAACGCGCTGATGACGTATCATGTCTGCATGAACAAGGTGCACAGAGGTATGCAAATACATACATTGACAGGCAGGCAGGACAGCCTACCATAATCTTCAGACCAAAGAATTTGATTGGACAAACATTTTATGGTCCTACGCCTTCCACAGACTATATACATACATATAAATACATTTAGACCACTTAACTTAGTGATTGCTATCAGGATGTGTCAATGTGAAGAGACTTTCAACCAGCATAACAAAAAATGTTTTTGAACCAAATCACCTACCCTGCTTTTAAAGAAGTAATACATAGCAAACTTAGCTAGACAGGAACAGAGATCCTGTTTAATGAACGTAATCTTAAATATACAAATTCTAATTCTAACAATAATTAAAATACACACACACACAGACACACAAACATAACGATTCAATAATAAGAAAAATAATACAATAATAATAACAACAACAATACTGTTCCTTACTGTTAATAACTAAACTGTAATGTTAAAAACATGTTTGTCTAGTTACTAAAAACAGCTTTGACATTTTTCTGTTGACAGATTTCTTAAAAACATTCCTTTTAGAAGAACGCAACTGTCCATATGTTATCGTTCACTCCCTAGAGAAAAACTGACTCTTAAAAATGTGTGTTATGTTTCAAAAACAAGACAGATAAGATGAAAGGAGTTTGTCATCTTACCGATGCACTTGCGGTTTTTGTAGAAGGTGAGGGTGCCGTGCCAAGTGTCCAAGTGAACACCAATAATGGAACCCTGTCCAAAACGTGACGAAAAGCTCACTTTATCACCGTTATGATGTAACAGACCTGAGAAAAACACAAACATACATTATATTACAAAAGAGTCCTTATGCACCATGCTTTCATGTAAAGTATAGGTGTTTGTGAACATTGCGCACCGAACCCGTTTTACCTGTATATGATAAACCCCAGCTGTCTTCATCTTTACCCAGCAGGCTGCAGAATGTGTGTCTATATTTGTCCAGATTCACATCTGATGTGCCAATACCAACCATCTACATAAACACACAGAGAATTCAACCGTAAAGTTTTAACGAGCCCACAGTCTTCATTGTCACATGATCCTGCAGAAATCATTCTAATATGCTGCTTTGCTTCTCAGGAAACATTTCTTGTCATTATCAGTTGAAAACAGTTCATTGCTGCTTTTGAACTGCTGTGTACATTTTCAAGAAGTATGCAAAACTACTCATTGCAATGTGGCTCACATCTTGGAAAACTCAACTGATTCAGCAAGTTTCATCCTTACTAGCTGTATGCTGACAGTTATGCTTCAGTCTGCTGAATCAGCTATGCTACTAAATTTTTCTGAGTTTAACATCAGCCCTTTTCAGATAAAATGTCCAAAATAAGCAGACTGCCCCCTATTCACAAAAACCATACTGAATATCACTACCACATAAAACATGCATACAGACACTCATTTGCACTTTTGTTCCTCACCATGTCTGTGCCATAGACAGGGGAAGTCATTTTAATCTCCCAGAAGTGTTGTCCCTCTGAGAGTTCTTTGGAGCCACGAATGGCTGCCGTTCCACAGCTATACTCCGAGTGGAAGCTCACTTTCCTGTTCTCACAGCTCAGCAGCGTTGCAGACGACCGGCTGCCCTCATCCCACACCCAGTCAAAATCTGACAAACAAGTAAACAGCCAATAAGAGAATAAGTTTAGTCACAATAAGCATGATCAAGGTAAAACAAATGTATTAATGTTGCATGTGGCACCACCTTGGTCATCCTCTCCACAGTGGCAGTCTCGCAAGTGTGTGTAACCCCGGAGCCGTGGGTTACAGCTGAGCTCCATCTGTGAATCACAGCTGCAGTATGACTCTCCGGTTACAGGCACTGCACTCGGAACCGCCGGAACAATGGCTGGATACTCGGCTTCAGAATCAGAGTCACTGTACTGCAAGACGCATGCATGCAAATTCAGATCTGACATAGTTTGTCTTTTTTTGTCTGTCATTTATTTTTTGAACTGAATCGACTCTTATGATGTTCAGCACTTCAGACAAAAGGCCTTGTCACACTAAAAATTAAAGGAATAGTTTGTCTAAAAATGAAAATCTGCAGAGACCTTAATCACCCTCAGGCCATCCAAGATGTAGCTGAATTTGTTTCTTTATCCGAACAGATTTGGAGAAATTTAGCATTACATCACTTGAATCCTCTGGAATGAACGGGTGCTGTCAGAATGAGAGTCCAAACAGCTGATAAAAACATCACAATAATTCACACGACTCCAGTTCATCAATTAATGTCTTGTGAAGTGAAAAGCTGCATGTTTATAAGAAACAAATCCATCATTAAGACGTTTTTAAATAGGAGTACTCTATCCATAATACTGCTTTCTCCAGTGAAAAAGTCATCTAATCTGAATCAGTAAAGAAATATGCACAGATCAAGTACCATTTACAAGAGAAAACAGTCCAAAGCAGTTCTAAACAAATATGTTAGTGGATTTTGATGTGAGAGGACAACAGTGGATGGATATTTTCCAGTGTTGGGGAGTAGCTAGCTACAAGTAGCGACGCTACTAACTTAACTACATTTTTCAGTAGCTTTATAGTAGCGATGCTACTTTTAAAATAGTGTAGCCAGTGTTCGAACTATACCGTGGACTTTGGGGGAG